CTTGTAAAATTACAAACCAGACTTCTAAAACAAGAGACACGACTAAATTACTGCAGAAAACAAGTCATGTTTTTCCAAAATGACAAAAATATTTTGTTGTGTTTTTGGGTGATCTGATCACAGAATCACAAACAGTAAACATGGCTGATGAACACATGAACACCGTTCAGAATAGAGTCTGAAAATAGAATTTTAAGCATTTCAAATCACATTCGAATTATACTAATTCTTGTTGTAAACTAAATGTATGAATTACTGTCCATTGTCTGTAAATGTCACTGAACTATATGATAAAACTGCATTTACTGAATTAAATGACTTTTAACTTCAAAATGAAACAACGTTGTTTGTTATTATTAACTATAAACTTCAAACAGTCTTTTCAAAAATGTACTACCGGCACATTTGACTTAACTAGGAAATTAACAGTTCATTGAAAACTTTCAAAACAGTTAACTGCAATTGGTACAAATTATTATTTGCACAAATTTTGAATGTGTTCACTTTTGAGTCACATAGTCCTTGAAGTACGCAGGTGTTGTCTTCACACGTTGCGGTCTGACAACTGGCACAACAGACGATTGCTTTGTCTGTTTTGGACTGGAGCCTTCCCTTTCCCCCACGGATGGTGAAGAGTCCTTGGAGTTGGTTACCACGTTGAAAGCTGCAGTTATGACTGGATGAGCGTCCGGCTCAAATATTCCCTGGTGAATGTTTGGCTCAGCGACTGCCAAACAGTGTCTCTGTCTGATATGATCTACGTGCCGTTTTTGTTTTTGGTTTTTTTTTTTTATCATTGATAAAGTCACAAAGCTTCCCTTCAATGCTATTCTTTTCAACATCGCACTTCTTTAGGTTGCCTTGAATTTCTTCAATTTTCACTTCAGTTTCATGGGGGCCTAACGGCACATGCCAAGAAAAAATTGACTTACTAATTGAATCTTTAAATAGATGAAACTGGTTCCCACCTTTCACTTTGGCTTGAAGGCCACTTGGTTTAAGTCTATAAAGCTCTGCCCTTAAAATGTTTATATCTTTCTCGTTTGCTTTAAACGATAGTGTTAGCTCATTTTCTAACTCAGTTTTGATGTTTTTGACTACATCTAACGTTAACGGTTCTTTCCAATGATTCTGTACTAAGGAAAAAAAGGGTTGATTTAGATAGTACAATCATATCTATTTTCAAAACAGTTTAGAATCTTACAGCAAACATAATTGCGATTAAAAATCCAATTTCCTTTTAGAAAATGTTTTAAGTTTCTAAAACACTTCCTGTATTTCTATGAATTCCATTTAACTATAGAAAATGTTAAAATTCTAAAATACTTCCTGCATTTCTGTGAATTCCATATAACTATAGAAAAATGTTAAAATTCTAAAATACTTCCTGTATTTCTGTGAATTCCATATAACTGTAGAAAATGTAAAAGATTCTCAAACAAACTGTCAAAAAATAGATGGCCACATTCTTGTTGACTAAAGTTCTACAGCATTCAAGAGGTCTGCACCATTGTTCCTGTTAGATGGCATTTTCACAAAGGAAAAGACGAACTGAGTGCCTCTGTCCAGGGTATACCTTTCGATGTGCTCGGGGTACAGGAGGAAATCTGTAAGTGGTCTCCTATGCAGATTGAATTTCACTGTGTTTTTATATAAAAGTTGTCTCTTTCTGCATTGAGAATTCTATAGTCCCAGCCTGTTCCAAGTAACTGATTTAACCTGTTTCTGTTTATTATTTTATACACAGTCTTTGTCTCTGTCACTTTGTGGGGTGTTCCAGAGTTGGATATTTGGAGAAATTCTGCTGCCGTCACTGGCACCTTCACTTTAACCAGACAGTGTGGACATGGACTTAACTTTTCTTTAATCATTACCACCAGCTTGTGGGCAAACGATGAGGTTTGATGGGGTATCCTCACAAGCTGGTCTCTTGCCACTTCCTCATCATACTTTTCTGTGCCACCCTGAAAGAAAAATAGAATACATTATAATACTGATAAATGAACATGGTAGGTGTATATCTATGGTATGTGTATACATCTATGGTACGTGGTGGCACTATTAATACTTCATATATATGGGTCACTCTCAGGTAATGGGGTATTTTATGCCTCCTCTCAGTTGGCAACTTAAAACATTCTTTTCTCAAGAAGTTAACATTTCAAACTCAAAACAATGCTGTCACTGTAATATTGACACTGAAATGTCATAACTGACATACTTTTGTTAAAGTAGAAAGATTAAAACATCATAAAACTATTAATTAATTTGCAAAATTTTAACACTTGTTCCGTTACCAAAATTGTATGACCTTTTTATTTTTTTGATATTTTTATCTTCAAAGATTTCACAGTCCCAGAGACATAATTATAAGAAAAAGATGTCTTTTAATGTGGTATTTTAACAAAATAAAGTCGAGAAATTAAAATACATGTAAATAATCAAGTTTTAAAGAGCGTGTGACGGACGTTATAAAGTTCCGTCCACATACTGGATTGGCATTATAAAGCAGTTTGAAACATACGTAAACCCATGTCATATGTGTAATTTTGTAAGAATGTAGCTAAACACGCGATAGAATCAATCTTATCAACAAATGGAGATAAGTATGTAATATAAACCATCTCGTTAGGCAAACAATATGACGTGAGATTATTCCGTCCTTGTATAACGGCCGTATGTTGACACAAAAAGTCTGTCCCAGTTCACTATCGAGGCGTCTTTCGGAACGCCAGTAATTTGTGAAGTTTAATACACTCATATCGATGACATCATAGGTCTGTGTGCACTACTTTCACTTAAGAGATGGCAGCAATGAAGGGCGACAGTGATTCCGTCCAGGTAAGAAGCTAAATGTTATGGGCGTTATGCTGTAACGAGCGTCACATTTTTAAATGAATTATAAGTATTAATTGCGCTAACGTTCTATATAAATTTCAAGGGTGGATTGTATTCGAATTTGATTAAGTAACCCTTTCGTGACCAAATTACTTAGCATATAGTGAAGATGGATGTGTTTTAATTAATTGAGACTAATTAAACTAATTTGGAATATTTTGTTCTATTGAAGATAACTTTTTTTATTTGTGGGTAGATTTTGATGAAATTTTGAGTGGTATTAGTTCATACCTTTATCCTTTAGAATATAATTTCATTTTGGTCATATGTTTTCATTTTCAGGTAATTTGCACAGGTAAAAATAGTAATTAAGGTGAAAATAATTAAAATATTGAAGAATAAAGCCCCTGTGTTTGTTTTTACTTGATAGGACATAGTCTTGACACTTATTATCAATCAATGAACAACTAGAGTAAAAATTTCAAGATCATGTATGTTTCAAACAAGGTAACAACAGGTAAATCACACGGGTAAAATATGGTATGAAACAGCTTGTAAATGAAATTTCATTAGGCATAATTTACCTTCTTTATGCACATGTAGCTCTATTTGATGTCACATCTTCACCACAGGTAGCATTTTCTCACATTACAGTCTTTACTTAGTTTTTTGCATAATATTAACTCACCTGTGCTAACGAGCACAGGTGGACACAGGTAAATTTTCCGAAAATGGCCAAAAACACTTTTTTTCAACAGATAGATACATTTTTGAGCACGCATTTCAGAAAAAAGTTAGTCGGAGAGGTTTCGGTCATGGAATGCTGCATAACATCCGACTCGACACAGTGGAATGTCACAGAATTTACATTTGTAGGATGTCTCAATGGGGTAGCCCTTCGGAGTTTTTCTTTTTTGCATGGAACATTCCCTACACATTTTCTTCCTTCCCTCAATTTTCTCCAGGTGATGATGCTTGATGGATGCAGCTGTAACTAACACTGATCTGTTACATTACTTACTTTTCCTACCCACTCTGTGTTTTCTGCTAGTAAAACCAGCTTTCAGTTGGTCCGCAACATCCATTCTGAAGCGAAGATGGTCATAGCCTTTTGGCGGAGGGGGAACTTTGCCGTCAGTTCTTTGGAAAAGAATCCAAGCATTGACAACAGCTAGATTGATAACATACCATAATATGTTCCCCCTCCACTTCTTTCCAGGTCTCCCAATGGGATAGTAAGAGGACAACTGATCAAATTTGTCGTTGCCTCCCATGTGAGCATTGTAGTCGAGATTTACAAAGGGCTTCCTTGTATTCTCGCATACACCAGGTTGAGATGCTGTTGACAGGAAGGTGATTTGTCTCTTGTCTTTGAAGGCAGTAGCAATGAGATTTCCTTTCTGTACTTGGATAATGTCAAACTGTTTCTTGAGTTTTGCCTTTTTTACAGCTTCAGGTAGGCCTTTCCGATTAGCCATTATTGTTCCGCAGACATATGTGTTTACCAATCCCAAATGTTCCGCTAGGGTTACTGATGAAATGAATCTATCAAAGAAAAGAAACCTATTCTGGTTGTGATAGTGCCTTGATAATGACCAAACGACATCATAGCCTAGTCCGTATTGACGTCCACCGTTTTTTTTTCCCTGTATAAATGTCAAATCCACAACAATAACCAGTGTCTGATTCGCATATCTGCCAAACTTTTATGCCCCATTTTGTAGGCTTGGCAGGCATGTATTGCCGAAAATGTATCCTTCCTTTATACCCAATCATGCCTTCATCCACTGACAAACATTTCCCTGGATTATAATTCTCTTTCAAGGTAGGTGAAATGCAGTTTATTAATGTTCTGACTTTGCACAGAGGGTCATAATCCGGACTGTCCCTACCAGGTACATCAGATGTGTCTCTGAGATGAATGTATTGATTTAGCTTCATGTAACGAGATTTGGTCATTATTGACGATATATATGGGTCAGAGAAACGTTCATCTGTAGACCAATAGTTCCAGAGTCGAGGCAACTGACGTATTCCCATAATGATGTTGATACTAATGAAAGCACGTACCTCGTCAGGTGTGGTCGGCTGCCATCTTGGATCAGGTCCTTTTTGATCAGCATACCTGTTTGTTTCCTCGGCAATAACGTCAAAATATGGAGCTGGTATAAACTTTAAGTAATCAATAGGCTTTGCATCCATTTGTAAGTGATGATTTACTCCTGTATTTTTCGTAAATTCTGGTAAAACATTTGCAAACAGGTCAACGTCGTCCCATTCAAAATTCAAATTTTGTAAGAACGGATCGTCATCATCTTCCGATTCTTCGCTCTCGTTATCTGAGAAATCTATGTCGGATTCATCATTTGCGTCCTGAAGGTCATTCTGTATCCTTTCCAAGTTTCTGTGTGCTTCCCTGACATCTTCCTCATCAAATACGTCAAAGTCTGCAACAGACTCATCACTCGATTCCGGAAGGTCCGCCATTTTCTGATCACTTTCGTTTCTCGGTCAACATTTTGTTTACAATCAAAAATTTCTTCGATTATGCATGGTTAGAACTAGCAACCATGCTGTCTATATAAACAGGAAGTAATGTTCTAGCGAGATCTCGTGAGATTTCAACAGGATGTAGTATTAGACGTACGTAGTCTCCAAGCTAAACACCAGGTATAACAAGGCCGGTTTGGGCACATACGGCCGTGGCCGGGTTTGGCCGGTTTGGTCACGAAAGGGTAAAAAGGTGAACCCTATTTCTGTAGTAACTTGCGGTGTTTTTATTTCACCCTCAAGCACTACTCTTGCAATACATTGTCGATTTGGACGGAAATTTTGATTTGGAACGTCACGAATGGACTGAAAACTTTGTGACGTGTGTAACAGAGAAACCTAAAGTGGATAAACATCATGATAATTTATAAAATAACTTGGGAGTACATAGTTAATATTGTTTGTTTTTACTGATTACATATCTGCGGTACTCGGAGGGGTATTTTTGAATATTGTTTGTCAGAAACGAAGCATTTTTTGTGAATATCGTTATTGTTGGACAGAAATTATTATCACGGACGTAACGTAGGACGGAACCTGTATAATGACAAACGTTATCTGTACACTTATAAAATTGAATCTTCTGAAATATAAAACAAGTTCATGCTCCATTTGCAAAAAGATGAACTCATGATTATTCTAGTTTTCATGTAATGGATGTACCATATTTTGAAAGATTGTTATGATTTAAAGATAAGTAATTCTCTGAAAAAATTAACTGGACGTTACATACTTTCAAACAGTATGATATTAAAGTCCCTCTAGGCCTATGTGTTTGTAGCTGAAAATTTTAACAAGATGCAATACAAAAATTATACCTGTTACCTCTTCGTAGACACCGATGTTAGTTAACTTCAGCTAATTTTGGTGCATATTGTTCTGTTGACTCATTTACTTCCGGTTTATGTTAAAGGTGAACGAAATGCACTTTTGTTTTTGTAAATTTCCTTATTCATGACGTTCCCTGGTTATTAAATTTAATATATTTATAACTTTCAAAGGTTATATGTGTGTCGTTTCTCTCGAAATGTTGAAATAATAAATGTCCGGTTGAAATCGCATCAAAGAATCTTGCCCGAGTTATCGTCCGTGAATTCGAAATCGCTGTGACGTCATAAGTGACAATCGCCGATCCAACGAACCTTGACTATGGCGCACGTATATAACTCCGATTGTAGCGACAGTGACGATATCCCAGAGGTTTCATTCACGCTATGTATCCATCCATATATGTATGAACCTGAGACATCGAACAATGACGATCATATCGACTCAGATTCGTCAGATTGTTCCGAGGAACTGCATATAAGAGGTGACGAGGATGACGAAGATAGCATGGCTTCCGATCAACCTGTCGGAGAATGGTTAGTTTTCATTGCAACTACACGACTATATTGTTGTTCAGATTTCGATAATTGTATGTCATCTATAAACTGTATTCAATTTTTAAAAAAATTTTCTATCGTCAAAACAAAAGCGGAAAAAAATACGTATTTGTTTACCGCTTTATCCGCCGGTAAGCAAGGCATTCTTCCGTTTATTGTTCATATACCAACAGGTCTACTGATCATTAACATTGTCATGAAATCAATATGTTTATGAAATCATTTGTTTTTCTTCATTAGTTTGTATTGATATAATTTTTCAAACAGTTTACGTTCTCCTGTTGTGTACATTTTCATTCACTTTGACTCTTCTGTTTGTACATTTTACCTCTTTCCTGCAAGTATTTTAGTACGTGAACGATGTACTTTCCAGCAGAAACAACATGACACATGCTCATTATTTTACGATTATATTTATTAATCAGAACATTATAGTACCTCAAATGCATTATGATAAATAAAAAGTCAATGGAGGCGATAATAACTTTTTACTCTATGTACAATTTGTTCTTTAATAACATGTTCAAGATATCTTACAATATATTACACTATAAATCTATACATTTCGTTTCAGGTGTTCCTGTAACATGTGTTCCCATATGTCCACTGAGGACGAAAGAAAATGCTGTCAGGACATGAGCATATTAGAAGAAAAGTTGACCGACATAGGCTGTATCACCCAACATGAAGGGTTTATTGCGAATTGTCTAAACATACATGTCCTGGAAACATCCTATTATGAATATGCTGAAACACACGGCCCAGGAAGACAAGAAGACATTCACAGGTATATAATCTAAATGACAATTTAAATGAACATCTTTGTCTCACAGATTATATACAACATTGGTACCCTTTATTACTAATCAAACCCCTACATTGCATACCTAACTAAATAATTAATTCCTATATTTCATTAATAAGTAATGGATTAGCAATAAATTTTGACCACAGTCCATTTTGTAGCACTTAAATTACACTGCAAATACTTGTATATATGCCTACATGTACCAGTGTCTTCAAACTTAAGAAATTTGATAACAATTTTTGTCACTTCAGGAAGTATCGGCTTGTAGCATATCGTCGCTTCATTAGGTGGACATGGAAAGTTCTAGGGAAAAAAAATCGACAGGTCATACCATCATGTGCTGTGACTGCCATACGGAAACAATTTCCATCACAACAATATACTGGTTTCAAGTACCCTCGTTTCTGACATAGCTCGTAAATCTCTGACAATTGTTATGGATGATAACATCTCTGTCAAAATTCCCCATGGCACTGCGGAGTTGACTTGCAATGGAAGGAGGGGGAGCATCCATTTCCTCAAAAAGAGCTGCTTCAGCCTGTTGGATGGTTGTGAATTGTAGCCTTCTGACTACAACCTCCTCCATCAACTCTTTGATGTAATCTGTTGACAAGTTGACATTAACAGTTTAAGGCAGAACAAGAACAATAAAAACTTGAATGGTCACAGTAATAATGAAGTGTCTTGTTATTGCCATCTAATTTGTTATACCAGGTAGTTATGTTGGTATGTTATAAAATACCAGTAAGTTTCTCTAAACATTGTTTAGATTTATCTAAAATAAAACGGTGAAAAATGATTTACGTTAATAAAATGGATGATATTAATATACTTTTATATTTAAAATCTCTCATTAATTTTTTTGTTAAAATATCAATGCAGGTAAATAAAATAAACATACTGAAGTTCTGTTTGACTTTAATCTCCTTTGGGACTGCATCCCCTTTTCTTCCTTTTGGGAAAGCAATTCTGTATCTGGCAGTCCCATCCTCCAGAGTTGCTTGTGGTCTACAACTATTTGAGTTGAAATGAAGAGCTGCCAGGCAAAGTCTGAAAAATGGTAGTACAGTCTGTGCAGAATTGTAAACGAACAGTATTCAATAAGGTACCATATCTTGTGAATGTATTCATTATGGTACTGTATTTATCAGGTAATAAGCCCACGCCTAGTAATAAGCCCATCCATGTCTTTTTCTTAGATTTCAAATTCACTGTCCTATACAAACTATATCCCTGCAATAAGCCCCCCCCCCCAATCTGTTGATCAAATATTAGACACTGGCCCCTAGGCTTATTGCAGGATAAATACAGTATCATATCAGGACCATAGTGATGTATTTCTGTTTCATTTTTATCAGCACTGCATCAGATTTTTATGAGTATATCTCACCTTGCTTTCATCTGATTGTAAAAGAAATGGCTGGCCTTTGGTGCAAAAAAGTTCACCACATTGTGGAAGGATTCCAAGCATGATGTCTGATGTGCTGGGGACAACTTTCCAACATCTTTCAACAGGAGTTTCCCACATAAAATCTTTTCCATTTCCCGGAATACTTTGCTTCCTGAAACGAAAGGGCGGAAGTAAAAAAATATTTAATGAGTAATATGTATAATTAGAAAAGAAGCATGTTATTTGAAAAGTATTACAAATTCTTCATATGACAATGGCAAGATGTAACTGAAGTCTTCATTTCTGATATTTTTGTCTGTAGACTAACATGACGACGTTTCTGGAGAAAAAAAGAAATATTAATCAATTGCTGTGAACTCTAAAATAATCTATATCGCCTGAACATTCCAATCTGTTGATTCACATCTATTATTTGAATAGCCATGTAATTCATATGAAACTAATTTTATATGTTAATGATGTTATTAACACTTCTATTTCAGTAGTCTTTGACGGTCAATACATATTGAACCTACTTACACTATGAGATGGTCATATAATTTGAAAACATATAATGACCAAGAATTATAATATAGATGTACTTTTCTGTATTTTATCATAAATCTTATTGCATCACAATCCATTTTCAAGAGGAGATCTAGAAATACATGTCCGGTATATGTAAGTGCATGGCCTTCATAAATATGCTGGGTGAAATTATATATACCGGATAGGGGGTAGGGGCTGGTATATGTGTACCCAAAAAGCATTCGGAGAATACCATAATAGTATATATTACATGTACATACTGTTAGGTTGTATGACGTCTGACAGCCAACATTGTATGTCTCTAGTGGATCATCCGGTCCTACACATTTATCTACAGTACTTCTGTGATCAGAAGTCTGTGTCTCCATGTGCACCTGATTTGGATGGTACTTGATTTGTTCAGACGTGTAATTTGTACTAATCTGCTGTTCATTTGTTACGTCTGCCAAAATCTACAAACAAAAAAAGAAAAAGGATAAACAACTAAACAAACAAGTGGAATACATTGTATGTGCCAGTAATATCAGAAAGGCGGGAAGAGTGGGGGGGGGGGGGGGGAGCTTGTACAGTTCACTGTGGTTAGGCGTAAATTAGCTTATATTATAATTACATTGTATGTTGCTTGCAAGTACAGTACCTTATCATTTTAAAATATTAGGTAATACTACCATTGTTAATACAACTGATGCATTTATTTACCTCGAGACGTCGTCTTTTCTGGACTGCTGTGCTAGGCCTAGACCGACTTCTGCTCGGAGTTGTGCCAACTGGATAGTGTTGGTCATTCCGGGCATTGGCAGGACTGGTACCGCTGTCTTCGGTCTGGATGGGAGTGGTAGGCCTAGATTTCGGCGAATAATCAAAAATTGTGGGAATTGACCCTGGTTTTAACGATTTTCGACCCGGTGTGAAACCAAGTGATTCCAAAAGACGTCGATTGTGGGTGAAGCAGTCATCCGCAAAATGGCTCTCACACAATCTGGTGTGGTCGCTTGGAGAAAAATTGTCTCTCTTGAGCTTAATTTTTTACGCATTCCGAAGCTTTTTATCTCGGGGAAAAGCGAATAAACTTACTTTCTGTCCACGATTGCTACTGTTGTTACAATTGAGGGCTGCACATTGTACCATGTTGACATCTGGCATTTGTTTACAATTTTCCTGCTTGACAGATAGCGCGGATTTTTTTTTGCAACGAGAGCGTTTGTCACATATGACGTCACGGATAAGGGCGATAATTCAGTCAAGGCCTTTGTGTTTCGCAAGATCGACCGAAGAACAGCATTTTTTAAAAACTCAATTTACTTACCAAACTCGCTAAATTTGTTTAAAATAGCACGTTTTGGTTTTTTATGATACTTTTATAACACTCTGGCAGCATCGGCAGTTATTTGATTGATTTTGGCTTTCTGTCACCTTTAAGTGATAGAAAATAAACCCTTTTCATTAGAAAATGTGAATATAATTTCTGCCGTTTTTCATAATTGCAATTACAACTGTAAATTTCCATATATGTGCCCCATCTTCTAGATATTATGCACATTTTTTGCTCTATTTCAATCTAATTACCTATTTCTTATTCCGAAATATATAATTTGTAAACTTAATAAAACATGAATTGTTTTGACTTATTGTTATTTTGAAATATTAACTGAATGCAACAAAAATTTACGCTGGTATTTTTTATATGAAAATTAACCAGGTCAATTTTTAGAGACTTTTAATATATTTCAAATACGAATTCTTTACGTAGCTGTACGAAATTTAAAGAAACTAAAGGATGAATATCTCATTAGATATGATGAAGGTTACTTTAACAGAATTTTGATTTTAGGTTTCAAAAACAAAGAGGGACTTTAAACTAAAAAGCAAAGTTTTCAGTGTGTGAAAATGCAGAAGAAATAATTATAATTGGAATGATTTCAGATGTAATTCAACATACAGCTTTTGAAAAACAAATTTTAACGTCTTTTATGAATTTTATATATAATTTGAATGCAACAAAACATTTCATTACGGTAAATATAATTTCATTTTTGTCTAAAGATGATGGACAACTTTGCAACCATTTATAATATAAAAATTACTAATATACATTTTTGATAATTTTACATAGGATTTTATCTTGATTTCCTTTAATGTTGAAGGTCTTTAAATGATTTAATCACTCTACATGTATATATAGACATACCGTACATATATGCATTTTGCATAAAATAAATCATTTAACATCATTCATTCACAAATTCAAAGGAAAATTAACTAATGAAAAATTAACTCTTTCATTAAATGTTTTTTACTTTTATTTATTTATAGCTGCTGGCATCCTATGATCCAAGTAGTAAATTAGCAAAGAAAGCTGCGGCTGCAAAAAGATCTAGAAAATATAGAGAAAGAAAAATGACGAGAATTACATGAGAAAGGAGAAAAGTTCAGAGGCAAAGTGCTAAAAGATGTCAATCAAATGAAGAAAGAGAAAGACAAAAGAACTTAATCGTAAAAGGCAAGCTCGATATGGAGAGGAAGAGAAATGAACCAACAGATCAGGAACAACTTGAAACTCCCAAAAAGAGGACTACAAGGGCAGAGCATGGGAGAAAGAAGTAATACTGGAAAGAAAGAAAAAGAATACAGCGTGCAATTATGTCGTCGCAGAAAAAGAGAAGAATCCGTGAGTATGATAGGAGAAGGAAACAGAAACAAAAGACTGATCAATTAGAACATTTGGACACTAGTTCACAAGACGCCAATACAGAATGAACTAACAGTCAACTCTCCAAGAAGACAGAGTTTTTCGCACACAAAAGTTATTACCCAAAAGCCCAGAAAAGTTCGCCCAAGTTGTTGGCCATATAATGAAAAATGCATCACCAAGGAAAAAGGCTTCACTCCATAGGACTGGAATTTCAGGTAGCCCTGCCAAGGAAATCAAATAAAAAAGGGATATTTTAGCCTCCATACAAAATACTGTCACAAATTTGGAATCTAAGCAACACAGCTCAAACATCATAAAGCGTAGTCTAGCTATGTCTTTAAAAAGTTTGAAACGGGCTAGAAATTACAGAACAATTTCCAAAGCAACAGGACTAAGCTACAACTTCGTAAGAAAGTACACTTCTGTCCATGAGAATGATTTAACAAAAAGAAAAAGGAGTGATGCATTGGAAGATTCTTTACAGAAAGGTGTTGAAGACCATTATCTCTCAAAAGCATCTTTTGTTCCAGATATGAAATATGTCGGTTCCAAAACTCACCAACCCAAAAAAGTTCTGAATGAACCTGTTTCAAGTCTCTATGATGAATTCAAACAGAAAAACCCAGAAAAAAAAATTTCCAAGTCAAAATTTCATCAGTTACGCCCAAAGATTGTGGAGACAAGCCATAAGAAGAAACTCTATCAAAGTAAATGTGAATATTGTACCAACCCCATGATGAAAATAAAAGCAATATACAAACTCTGCAATGAAAAAGGAACACCTCAATGCAAGATACAGGATAAAAATAGTCTGATGAATCTGATAATGTGTCCAAATGGAGACAAGTCTTTCCATGCAAAGAAGTGTATAATCAGGGAATGTGGGGTATCACTTCAAAGGT